TGAGAAAAATCTATAAGATTCTTTTTTTTAAAAAATTAGTTTAGGTTTTTTTATAGTATTTTTGAGTTGAGGAGAATAGAGGAGAGAGAAGGTCAAAGGAGGAGACAAAATTTATTTATTTGGTTATTAGAAAAATTGGAGGATAGTGGCAAATTTTTCATTACTTTATTTTTTTCTTCTAATTTGTTTATTTATCTAAATGAAAGGAAAGGAATACAAAGGAATGAAATGATATAATTTGCCCTAAATCCCTTCTTCTTTTCCTTGCTTCCTTCAATTCAAACATACAATTAGGATTAAGAAAATGAACAATTAAATAAGGAGAGGACTCCAATATTAGATTATCTAATATGTATCTGATAATTATTATTTTGCAATTCATTACAATTTAAACTATACAATATTTTTTTCTTAAGAAAAATTAGGGGTAATCAAAGGTTAAGCTTCTAAAGATTTCTAGGAATTTCTTACAATTGATTACGCATTAAGTAAGGGAAAAAAGAAGTTAAAGAATGATTACTTTTCCCACCCTTCTTGGAAATTAAGATTAGATTAATTAGTGTATTTCTCTCTGTTAGAAACTACCTTCTTGAAATCTTTATGGAAAGATGAAGACCCCACTAGAGTACGTTAGCAAGTATAAGGGTGCATTTGGGATTTGATCAGGTAGTAGTTGTAATTATATTAAATTGTATTATATTATAATTGTAATTGAAAATTATGTTGGTATTTAATTTTTTTTTAAAATATTGTGAATGATATATAGTAAATTTTATTAATTATTAATTAAAATTTAAAAAATATTATATAATACATAATTATTAAAATAGACAACATTTCTTACTTTTTAATAATTTAAGTTTTTTAGGTTTCTTATTATAAGTGTTCTTTTGGGTTTCTCAAGAGAGTAATTTAAAATTAAAAAAAGAATTTTTTAAATAAATAAAAGGTTAGTTTTAAATAAAATATTATAAATTATAATATAATTAGACTAAACAAGATTGATTTATAATGAGTGATTTTGTATTTATATTATTTATTAGGAGTTATTCATAAAAGTCATAATTAAAAAGTTTTAAAATGAAATTTTTAACTTTATATATAAGATTACTATGAACTTGTTATGACTTTTTACTACTTAAAAAAAATAACTTAAAAAAATTATTTTATATATATCTAAAACAAAAGATATGTATTAATCTTGATTCTTTAGAAAAATTGGAGTTCTACATTCTAACGACACTGTTTCATTTAGGATTAACCCCCCAACCTCTACTATTTTTACCCCTTTTGTCGCTACAATTCTCCATCTCCATGCCTCCTGTTATTCATCATCTCCATGCCTCCTCTTACAATTCAATCAATTTGCCGATATTAAGATATAAACACAATAATTCAAATCATATTCACAATTATCACATATTGTAAATATTTTATATTTTAAAATATTCTCTTTATATACTTTATATTTTAGAATATTTTTTTTGTAAATACCTATATATATCATTGTATATAAAGTATTATTCAAGAAAACAATAAATTTTTCTTCAAATTTTTCTTCAAATATTTCTTCTTCTTTTCTGTTTCTAACATTCGACACAATCCACAGCAAGCCCATAAAAAATCAACAATGGAGACAAGACCCATCTATCTATCTCTCATTTCTCTTTGGTTTTCTCTCTCTAATTCTTGGTATACCAAAGTTATAAAATACCAACAATGGAGGGCTTGAAGCCAGCAAAGTAGAGGCCTAATTTAGGGCTCCACACCACTATGGTTTGCAGCAATGTTTTTAAACTCGAACCAGAGGTCAAACCGTTTTGACCTCTGGTTCACAGGTTGAACGATTCACAGGTTGAACGATTTCACTAGTTTAATTGGTAAAACCGTTGGATTGATCAAATTATTATAAATATATTATTCTACAAAATATTTCACAAGGTGTTGGTTGGGTGCAATGGTAGGTGGCTGATTTGATATTGAAAGATCACAAGTTTGAGCCCTCATGAGAATAAATTTTAATATAATTGTGGTTTTAAAGATAGAATAAATATATTGTAAAGCAAAAAAATAGCAAATAGAAGGTTGTGTCTCAAGTGGTAGAGTCTTTGTTTCATATCATGGAGAATGGGTGTTTGAATCCCATGGCGATCATCAATAAGTTGGTTAAAAGCTTTGAGATTTATATTAGATAAATAAAATTTCAAGCACTCATTGACACAAAAATTGCATCGTCCTAGTGGTAAAGAGTCAGAATTAACGATTATGAGGTTGCGAGTTCAAGCCCCGCGAGAGATAAATTTTTGAAGATTTTATACTCAAGTATTGAATGGTCAGGTCGAACAGTTCATCGGTTTGAGCGATTTCAATAGTTCTTGTTGGCTTCAAATGGTTTACAATTCAAATGGTTTAAAAGATGCACCTGAACCGCGTATACCAGCAGGTATCGATTTAACTGGTTTGACCGATCGATCTGGTCCGATTTTCAAAACATTGGTTTGTAGAGAGAGAAGTTTCATAACACAAAGTCAAAGAAATCCAATTTTATGGGCAATGATATTATGCATCATGATGTTAAGGCTGTTCCATGAAGTTTTTCTTTGATTCCTTCTTTGTTACTTGCGCTGTGGTTTTTGTTAAACAAATTGAATGACTTGTAGAAGTAGGCGTGGAGATGATGAATTACAAGAAGCATGAAGATTAATTTTTAACGAAACGTTGTCATTACAATTTTGAAATTCCAATTTTCATTAGAAATTGAGACTAATATGTCTCTAAAATTTCTATATAACTACTAAAAAAGGCATCTAACCGCAAATCCCAAATGCACTCTAAATCTAAAGTTCAAACGCCATGGTTACAAACCAAAGTGGCATGGTTATGGTACAATTCCTTCGGGCCCCATTCGATCGGATTGGCGATGGCCAATTTTCCTAGGGCCTGGCTATGATGCAATCTGTCAAATAAAGTCCAAATCACAGTGCTGGCCAAGGCCAGTTTAGCTTGATGGATTAGTTGAGCAGAAAATTATTAGGGGTGAGCAGTATAGATATAGATTCATACATGTATTTGGCTACTCTGTTATATGGAATCGAATCCCAGCTGTTTGCACCAATATAAACCGACAGGCAACCCCAAGCAACTTTCCGGAGTGGAACCAGCACCTCCTTCCTCAACCGGTCACGCACTCTGTAAGCATAATGCTCCTCCTTGGACGCCTTCATGTTCCGGCTAATTCTTCCGGGCCTTCATTAGGATATGGGCTAGTTTGTCCAACAATACCACAATCTATACTACAACATATTCATGAGAGTAAATTTTGTCAGAGAGTACCACAATTTGTACTTGTTTTGGACATAACATTTGAGAAGAATTGATGACTGCAAATGATTTACATCGCGGTCAATTTATATGAACACAATTCGGTCTGACTTCCCGCTGGTTGCTTCCAGTTTTTTTTAGTCATATAGCAATGGTGCATCTTTCTGTTGGAAACTTAGAGACATCAAATTTGAACCTAAGTAGCTAACAAAAGCAAACTGTATAAAATCGACAAGAAACAAGATCAGGATTCATTTTTAAAACCTTAAAAAACAGAATAAAAATAAAAATTTGAGTTGATTTTTTAAAAATAAAAATTTAA